GTCAATCTCACAACCTCCCCATTATAAGTCAATGGGATAAATTTCAACTTCATCTGAATGCCACCCGATCCACACAATATATTCAGGATCATGGTGTTGCAGGTCCCTGGTCCCGGCATCTCAAACCTAGAGCGACTACACTCAAGTTCAAGCTAACAGTCTCCACTCTCCAATTCAGATACCTATCGAAACCTTTCCGCGACCCGGTGCTGTGGCTCAATCAGTGGGCCAGCTGGCCGCAGACCATACCCGCAGGGCATGAACCTTTGACCATATTAGGTCAACACGCCGTGGCCCCAGCCCGCTCGCCAGGTCCGCGCTCATTGGCCGACGCGGCAACCGCACAACCTGTCCCCTCCCCTCCGTACCCAGCAAACATGCCCACATGGGTCCCATATGGGGTGAACATGGGCCAGATGGGCCCACGTGGGACATGGGCTACAGATGGGCTACCCATATGGGCCCCATATGGGATCAAGATGGGCCAAACGCATGTGGGCTGGAGATGGGCATCCCATGTGGGTCCCATATGGGGTGAACATGGGCCAGATGGGCCCACGTGGGACATGGACTACAGATGGGCTACCCATATGGGTCCCATGTGGGCGCCGCGTGGGTCCCATATGGGGCCTACGTGGGCTGGCCCATATGGGTCCCACGTGTCACCCACTGCCATTCCCATGTGGGACCCATATGGAAGAGGTGGGGGGCCCATGTGGGCCCCATATGGGAACCATGTGGGCATGTTTGCTGGGTAGTACTCGCAGCGGCCGACGGATTCAGCCAAGTTACCGACCTGCCCAGCGAGGGGAGGGCCGGCCGGGAAAGATACATATTTGACCGACTATACATGTGCAAGCAATCTCATTATCAAGCATTATGCCTGCCAAAAAATATGTGGGCAGCCCATGTGGGGCCCACATGCAGCCCACATATTTGCCCATCTCTAGCCCATGGCCCACCTAGCCCACCATGCCCATCAACTGCCCATGTGGGGCCCACATGGGCATGCTGGCTGGGGTTTGCCCATTTGGGCCCCACGTGGGCCCCGGATGGGTGTGCCCAGTTTGTTGGTGCCCAGTCTGCCCACATGCTGCCCGCATCCAGCCCAGATAGGTGTCGGGTCAGTTAACAAAGTTTTGTAGTAAGGTTTGCCCATTTGGGCCCCATGTGGGCCCCGGATGGGTGTGCCCAGCTTGTTGGTGCCCAGTCTGCCCACATGCTGCCCGCATCCAGCCCAGATAGATGTCGGGTCAGTTAACAAAGTGTAGTAAAGTTTGCCCATTTGGGCCCCATGTGGGCCCCGGATGGGTGTGCCCAGCTTGTTGGTGCCCAGTCTGCCCACATGCTGCCCGCATCCAGCCCAGATAGGTGCCGGGTCAGTTAACAAAATTTTGTAATAAAGGAAATGTTTATATAGATAGGTGTAGGTGTCGGGTCAGTTAACAATTAGTTTTGTAGTAACTTTTGCCCATGTGGGCCCCGGATGGGTGTGCCCAGCTTGTTGGTGCCCAGTCTGCCCACATGCTGCCCGCATCCAGCCCAGATAGGTGTCGGGTCAGTTAACAAAGTTTTGTAGTAAATTTTGTCCATGTGGGCGGCCGGGCCCCATGTGGGCCCCGGCTGGGTGTGCCCAGCTTGTTGATGTCCAGTTTACCCACATGCTGCCCGCATCCAGCCCAGATAGGGGTCGGGTCAGATACCAACATTTTGTAGTAAAGGAAATGTTCATATCCCATCAAACATGCCCACATGGTTCCCATATGGGGCCCACATGGCCCCCCACCTCTTACATATGGGCCCCACATGGGAATAGCAGTGGGTGACACATGGGACCCATATGGGCAAGCCCACGTAGGCCCCATATGAGACCCACGCGGCCCCCACATGGGACCCATATGGGCCAGCCTACATTGACCCCATATGGCATCATGTATGAACTTCTATTTCACATGAACAACAGTCACCTTTTTTGCTTTTATGCTCTTGGAGTAACTTAAATGGGGCCTACATGGGTGATCCATATGGGACCCACATGGGATGCCCATCTCCAGCCCACATGCGTTTGGCCCACCTGGCCCATTTTTCCCATATAGGGCCCATATGGGTAGCCCATCTGTAGCCCATGTCCCACGTGGGCCCATCTGGCCCATGTTCACCCCATATGGGACCCACATGGGATGCCCATCTCCAGCCCACATGCGTTTGGCCCACCTGGCCCATTTTTATCCCATATGGGGCCCATATGGGTAGCCCATCTGTAGCCCATGTCCCACGTGAGCCCATTTGGCCCATGTTTACCCCATATGGGATATCCATCTCCAGCCCACATGCGATTGGCCCACCTGGCCCATTTTTATCCCATATGGGGCCCATATGGGTAGCCCATCTGTAGCCCATGTCCCACTGGGCCCATCTGGCCCATGTTTACCCCATATGGGACCCACATGGGATGCCCATCTCTAGCCCACATGCGTTTGGCCCACCTGGCCCATTTTTATCCCATATGGGGCCCATATGGGTAGCCCATCTGTAGCCCATGTCCCACTGGGCCCATCTTGCCCATGTTTACCCCATATGGGACCCACATGGGATGCCCATCTCCAGCCCACATGCGTTTGGCCCACCTGGCTCATTGTTATCCCTTATGGGGCCCATATTGGGTAGCCCATCTGTAGCCCATGTCCCACTGGGCCCATCTTGCCCATGTTTACCCCATATGGGACCCACATGGGATGCCCATCTCCAGCCCACATGCGTTTGGCCCACCTGGCCCATTTTTATCCCATATGGGGCCCATATGGGTAGCCCATCTGTAGCCCATGTCCCACGTGAGCCCATCTGGCCCATGTTCATCCCATATGGGACCCACATGGGATGCCCATCTCCAGCCCACATGCGTTTGGCCCACCTGGCCCATTTTTATCCCATATGGGGCCCATATGGGTAGCCCATCTGTAGCCCATGTCCCACGTGGGCCCATCTGGCCCATGTTCACCGCATATGGGACCCACATGGGACGCCCATCTCCAGCCCACATCCGTTTGGCCCACCTGGCTCCTTTTTATCCCTTATGGGGCCCATATGGGTAGCCCATCTGTAGCCCATGTCCCACGTGGGCCCATCTGGGACCCACATGGGATGCCCATCTCCAGCCCACATGCGTTTGGCCCACCTGGCCCATTTTTATCTCACATGGGGCCCATATTGGTAGCCCATCTGTAGCCCATGTCCCACTGGGCTCATCTGGCCCATGTTTACCCCATATGGGACCCACATGGGATGCCCATCTCCAGCCCACATGCCTTTGGCCCACCTGGCCCATTTTTATCCCATATGGGGCCCATATGGGTTGCCCATCTGTAGCCCATGTCCCACGTGAGCCCATCTGGCCCATGTTCACCCCATATGGGACCCACATGGGATGCCCATCTCCAGCCCACATGCGTTTGGCCCACCTGGCCCATTTTTATCCCATATGGGGCCCATATGGGTAGCCCATCTGTAGCCCATGTCCCACGTGGGCCCATCTGGCCCATGTTCACCCCATATGGGACCCACATGGGATGCCCATCTCCAGCCCACATGCGTTTGGCCCACCTGGCCCATTTTTATCCCATATGGGGCCCATGTGGGTAGCCCATCTGTAGCCCATGTCCCACGTGGGCCCATCTGGCCCATGTTCACCCCATATGGGACCCATGTGGGCATGTTTGCTGGGGCTCAGCCCATATGGGACCCATATTTAGCCCAGATAATAGCCCACATGTAGCCCATGCCCACTTAAGCCCAGATGCCCCACTTTCAGCCCATATGGGCCCCATTTGGGAAGGCTGGCTGGGCTGCTAGCATACAATGACATAAAATAAGAAACGTAGAATGCATCATTCAACTACCTTCGGCAGCAGCCAGAAACAAAATTTGTATTCTGATGTCACGTTAGCGAACTATATGCAGCTATAAAGAAAGTAAATTTTCAAAACATTATGAAAATGGAAGCGCTCATAGTTCATATGTTTGTACTTACTCGAGTCTCCTATCGGTCCCATCTATCAGGCTTTGGGCTCAATCATTTGTGCCGTCAACCCATCAAAACCGGTCATGTATCGAACCAGAAAGAGGTAACAAAGTGGAATGGCCTTGGCCCACATGACACTGCAAAACTCGAACTGTGAACGAACAGGTCATCAGGTTCGGTATCCTGCTGCGTGTTGTACATGTATGTACATTCAGACTGGTAACCTCTTGAAAATGTAACATTCACAGTTATCTGCTACTATTATGGATATGTAGGATGACAAGTGTGAAGATGAACGTCTTCTACCTTTATCTAAGCAGTCTAGGTACCAAATGTATCATGGCTGTGTGAAACTATCCCCGTAAATAGGCCCGCTGCCGGTCATCAGCACGATACACCGCACCTCTGACCTGGGCTCACCTCCGGTGGCCTGGTTTCGGTACCCCGACACTGGTAATTGGTAATACGCGGTGATATAACCTCGCTCCCGTTGTCTGCCATCCGACGTTCCCAATCGAGACTAAATCCCAGCAATTTGACAGGGAGGCTGGTCGTCGGCCATCATTGAGGTATAATGGAGGCCTCTGGGGGATTATCTCCAAATGGCCAACGACCTACGCATGGGGCATATCATCCCGCTTACATAACATAATATTGGCCGTGATATCAGACACCGATAACGTATGTCCTGGATGGGGTTTCACCGAGCGGGACATAACCCACTGCTACTGTATTGCTCATGAAACGAGCTACAGTATTGTATAACGCGAAGATGGCACGTAACAGAATTGATGCATTTTACTGGGTTCTACGAGCAGAGTTAATGTGTTGCAGTATAGGCAGACAACAATGCTGAAAGCATAAGAAAAATAACAAAATAACAACCTTCATAACGCGCACATACCTACTCGCTCATATGTCCCTCGAAATAAACCAATTTAATTGTACTTTATCCTACTGACGACGTTATGTGTCCTTTCAGGCGCGGCCAGGTCCCAGTGCCGTACAAAGACTTGGGCCTTCGAGCGCGTGCCAGGAATGCAGCTGCGCTTCCAGAGGGGTGACCGCGTCCTGCGCCAGGTGCCGACCAGGAAGGACTGTCAGAACGCCTGCCTCGAGGACGGCTGCCGGTAGGAGATGCCATCCCTCACCTGTTGGGTACTGGGGACGATATGTCCGATTATAAATGACATTATGAAATATAATAAACCAACTAGCTCCAAATAGCAGATGAATGGGTTTTCCGACTTCTTGTTGCAGTCCATTGGAAGCCCAGCAAGGTACTTTTCATACGAAGTTGTATGATATAACTGCATCATGTGTTAATATGTTTGATGTACTACTGTTATCTGTGGTTTGATATATGATGCATTTTTCATGCAATTTTATCCTCCCCGTTCCAGCTCAGCGACGTTTGACTCGGAGAACCTCGAGTGTCGGCTGAGCCGCGCCAGCCGCCGTCAGATGCCCGAAGACTATGTCGAGAGCAGCCGAGGCGTCGAGTACCTGGAGAACCAGTGCATCGGAGGTCAGTATTTGCCGAGTCAGAGCGTCATATTGGATGTCACCAAGTGTGATATTGCGGCAATTATCTCAATAGCAAAACGTACCATTCGCTACTCAAATTATTTTTCACACGTTTCGTTTAATTATATCATTTAACTTTTGCATCAGAGGTGCGTCGCTAACTGTGATGTCTGCTTGGACGTTCCTTGATCTCAGAAAAGTTTTTCATCTTTATATTACCGAATGATCTGTAGAAAGGGTCTCAACTAAGCTCAGTGAAACGTCACTGGAGCAGCACGATGGGGCTGCGGATGCCTCTAAAGTATTCCTCGCACCCCTCTTACCACCCTCTCACCTCCCACAGCCGACACGCGCTGTGACTACGCTCCGCTCACGGACAAGTTCCCGCGCTACATCGACCAGACGATCCCTCGCGTGGACCGAGTGCGCGACTGTGAGCGCCTGTGCACTAACAGTCGCGAGTTCGTGTGTCGCTCGTTCTCGCTCTACACTACCGCCGGACAGTGTCTGCTCAGTGGCGACGACGAAGGTGAGTTGGAGTTTAAAATGCCAGGAGTTTAGCAGTTACTAGGAGATACCGAGAGCAGTTTGTGGAGCTTTGTCTTAGACATTCAAAAAATGCGTTGGAAAATTATTGTGCAGTGTTTCCAGGAAACAATCCTGGTAAGACTGGCAATCATTCGACTAAAAATCTATCATACCATCGCCTTCCGTTTATCTAAATGATATACTCTGCTGAGATGTTTTAGATTTAATTAATTCTACGAGTATTTCTGCTACCGTCATGACGCACAAAACATTAAAAGAAATAAAAACACATCTTACTTTCACATTGCAGCATCGGCGGGCGAAACTGCATACACATCTCGGGCCGGTACCGATTTCTACCAGCGCGAATGTCGAGAGCGACGACGCGATCCGGATCGGCCGGATCGGCCGGATCGTCCGGATCGTCCGGATCGCCCGGACCGCCCGGATCGCCCGGACAGGCCGGACCCGGACCGACCCGTGTTCCCGGACCGTCCGGATCGGCCTGACCCGGACCGGCCTGTGTTTCCGGACCGCCCGGACCGTCCGGTCTTCCCGGACCGCCCTGACCAGCCGGACAGACCAGGTGACCACCGACGCCGTCCGGACGCGGGGCCAGCCCTGTTCCGGAGCCGGCGGACGCTGTATGTGTTCGGAGACGGCCGACGCGGCCGGCGTGTCTCCTCCCCAGCAGTGGTGTTTCCCTGGGGCTGGGGCGGCCCCGGAGCGGCGCCCCTGCCGCCCCGGAGACGGCCCGGGCCCGTCCTGCCGCTCCCCGGGCCGCGCCCGACCGTTGTGGACCTCCCAGACCTCCCTGCTTTGTCTCCTCCTGTACTGATGACCCCAGCAGTGACCACAGCGGGCTTAGAGTGGAGTGAGTTCGGACCCGAGCTCGACCCGTACCCCGGCGGTGAACCGGCCACGGAGCCAACCACCGAGCCGAGCATACGGAACCAGAGTAAGACGAGACACTCCGCTACTCTTCAGCGGTCTCTGAAACTGACGCTAACTGAAACAACGCCTTCTGAATTCTAAATGGGAACTCTGAACGGCTTGGGATTTTCAATGTACGCCAGAGGCAGAGCACTTAACAGATATCTTTTCTTTCGACGCTAACAATTTCGCTGTTTTATGTTAACCCGCGCCCCGCTGGGGGGGGGGGGCAGAATCTGCCCCCCTCCCGTTTTTCGCCGATAACTTCTAAACGCGTTACGCCAGCGACGTCAAACTTTCAGTACCTTATGATACATCAATTTGACACGTTCCCTTAAAATTTGAGCGAAATCCGTCGGAAAACTTTTGAGAAATTGACGTTTTTGTGACGTCATGTTCGCCATTTTCGCCTCAAAAACGGCAAAATTTCAAACGCCGCTAACATCTTCATTTTTAAAGGAATCAAGACGTAACAAAAAAGGTTATACGTGATTCTACTTTGTCTATCAAATGGCCATCTCGGTTTTTTGAAAATTTTGGATTTTGGCCCAAATTTTTTTTCAAAAAACTGATTTTTTTGGGAAAATTATTATAAAATCCAAAATTTTGAGAGTATCGAAAAAACCAGAATATATGTCAGAGAAGTAGTCTATGTGCACCTATATACCAATTTTTAGAAGAATCGGTTCAAAAATGTGGAAGTTATTCAAAATTGTATGACGTCACGACACACAAAAATTTTGAAAAGTCATTTTTTTGGAAGTTCTAGACCTCGTACGGAAACAAAAATAGCACCATTCGATTCGCCGTGAAAAACTGCATCAGATAGACATCTTTTTAGGCCTTAACAACCAACTTCAAAATTTGACCTCACTTGACCTGACCTTGACCTGACCTTGACCTGAAATTCATCCAGAGGTGGTCCATATCACTTATTGAGTGTGCCTATTGAATTCTATGAGTAAAATGACCCATAAAACATGTGTCGCACATGCCCTTTTCTATATTTTGTTTTTGGTGACCTGACCTGACCTGACCTGACCTTGACCTTGACCTTTGAATGACATTGTATGCAACGAATATTGTCTTGGTAGTCTAAGAACACGTTTTGGGCAATCAGTCTCAGTCCATTCTCCGGCAACTACGGTATAAGGCCGATACTGTAGAAACTTACATTTTGTACCCTTGACCTGACCTTGACCTGACCTCTGACCTACTTGAGCAAAAAAATTTGGGCTCTTTAGATCCACCTTGTTGAGAGCTTTCGATTGCCGTTTTCCCCGTCTTTCTACGACCATCGGTTCGGAAGTTAGACAGGGGGGGCAGAATCTGCCCCCCCCCCCCCCAGCAGGGCGCGTATGGCTGAATAGCCCAGCGGGGCGCGGGTTAATGGCAAAGCTTTGATCTGAGGAGCTTTACTTTCCACGTTACTGTGCATTTTCACTTGTGGGTACTTATGCGATCTTTCTACTCTACAAAACCAAAACTGAATCTTATTTCCATTTTCAATGATCGCATAACGAATGGAGTTCTAAAATTTTCACATTTTCAGCGTTTTATCAACTCCTGAAATATGATAAGATATAAAACACCCTAGATGCAACATGCATTGCCCTGCGCTTTCCCATGTAAGCCGTTCCTTAGCCCAAGGTTTGCGTGATATGAGAGGATGAAGCTAATGTCTTAGAAAATCTTGAATAAGCAGAAGTCCAAGTTGTCAAATCCTTTCATATTTTTCTCTTTTTTCCTTGATCCGTTGACGACAGTTTCGTGTACTTATATCCGAAACGGTGTTTTGTCTTTGCTGACCCGTTCATCGTCTGCTTCAATTGCATTGCTATATAGGCATTACTGTCTGTATCAATTGCTGCTGTCTGTGTTTCTAAATATGCCTTACTGATATCAACTTACGCGTGTTTTAACTACCATATTCTTTGTGTTAACATCATTTGCATGTCTTCCAACTATTACTTCCCTACTTCACGGACAAAACTATCCGCTGCTTATCTAAATGCATGACATCTCGACCTCGCCGATTTCGCGAATTGATCATTGTGCATTGAGTTGTTCTATATCTGACGTCAGGGTTACACATTCTTTGACAATTAAGCTGAATCTTACTACTGCTATACATTCAATTTGCATTTCAAGATCATTAACAACATAACTAGTTTTCCATTTCAATAATCATTGCCATCAACCGTCAGCTGCGCGTTCATTCAGCCACATCGGTGCATTCCACTCCACTCCCTCCTGTAACTGACCCTTTTCCGTCGACCCACCGACCCCGCAGGCTCCTGTGACCAGTACGAGCTGATCACTGGGGTCGAGATGAGGCAGGTACGCGGCGTCGAGCTCACCTCGGGAAGACAGGGCGCCGGAATCATGGCCGACTGCATCCGAGCGTGAGTGTGGAATACCGAGAACCGAATGCCGGGTTAGACACCGGGTTAGACACACACAATAATGGACACCGAGTATAACTTCACTGGTCCGCGTCGAAAGTCGTTCTGCTCACGCAATGCAACTCAAATCATGGATGGAGTTGGTGAAAGGCTTTAGTTCAGTTGGGTTCAGTTTTTATTACGTACAGCTCTAATAATTGCATTTAGCATCTACCACTTCGAATTCTCGTGTTACTATCATCAGAAAAATATCTGTTTCGGCACAAGTGTTGTAGCTTCATGGGCTTTATGTTTTTTAAAGTTATTGTTTTATGTTTTGGAGAAAATATTCTGCCTTAATTCGCCCCTCATCATACCATGTCACTGACCTCCATGACTTCTTGTTCTGTGACCCGGTAGGTGTGACCGTGACCGGCGCTGTTCCGCCTTTAACCTCGAGCACGGAGGGGGCACTCGCCAGCCGCCGCGCTGCTCGGCGCTCGAACTCCGAGAGAACGTCGAGGTCGACTCCCGCGACCTCACCGACACTCCGGGCGTCAGCTTCATGCAGAAAATCTGCCTCAGAAGTAAGTTCAGTTTGAGCACTCCTCAAATAGCAGGGAGATCGGCAGTTACTTGGCTAACGGAGGGGGATGGAGGCGCGACACATGAGCAATATCTCTTCTTGACACATAACGCAAGTGAATAGTGATTTAATATCCAGTCCCGCAAGTCTGATGTTTCCGATGAGTCTAGCCCCGTTCTTCGTGCCCTCGTTCCAGGCCGAGGCTGTTCCAAGCTGTACACGTTCGAGCGGCTAGTGAACGCGGAGCTCTCTGTGCGAGAAGACAGGGCCCTGCGCGGCGTCTCCAAGACCGAGTGTCAGGACGCGTGTCTGAGTGAGCGCAGCTTTGAGTGCCGCTCTGCCACGTACGACTACCGCGACCGACTGTGTCTGCTGAGCCGGGAGACTCGGCAGAGTGCGCCACGCGCCCTGCGCCGCACCAACGGCAAGGACTACTTCGAGAACCAGTGCGCCAGAGGTGGGTGAACAGAAACGCATGGTTGGTGAAGCGATTTTAAAAACACACATCCTGCTCACCCCTGAAATGTTTCTCAGTAACTCGGCTGGTTGAATGCAAAGTATTGGAGAAAGATTGATAAAAGTTTTCTAGTTTTGATCCGAATATGCTCTTTCAGTAGGTCCTTTTCCGAAGGTCTTGCGTTCCAATTGAGTTAGGAATATTGTGGTGTGTACCGTAGATGAATCACATTTCACGTTGAAACATTAACCACCGAAATTCCAATATCATATGACGTATACCATTCCAGCCCCATTCCCCAGCTTGTATTGCTCCATGTAACGCATTTCTCTCACCCGACAGAGTTCGAGGACTGTTCGTACCGCAACGAGGCACGCGACGCGTTCCTGTTGTATACGCACAAAGCGGTGTCAGCGTTCAGTGACGGCCGCTGCCGAGAGGCGTGCGACAGGGAGCGGGACTTCAACTGCGCCTCCTACTCCTTCCTGCCTCCGGTCAGTAGCAGAGGACACTAAAGAAAGACGAATCATTTGATAAGAGTGCAGCGAAACGTCCATTGCTTTTACCTCTGTCTTTCTGCACCTCTGTAACAGAAACTGCTGAAGAATGAATAATTTTTATCGATGTTTCAATGATCAGAATTCGTACTTTCGTAGTAATTTTGTGAGTGAGCTTAGATCTACTTTCTAAATCTAGTGGGCTACTTTCATAAGTTTGTATGAGGATGTTCTGATCTGACCACTCTGACGGCCTCGTGGTGTTCTCTCGGACAGAGCCGCGCTCGCGACATGACCTGCCTCCTGTCGGGAGTGCGGGCCGCAGACCTGGACCGCAGCGGGGTGCGTTTCCTGGAGGGCAGTCTGTACGCCGAGAGGGTCTGTCAGGACCGCGCGTCCGGCAGACCTGACAGACCCGACAGACCTGACAGACCTGACCAGCCTATCAGACCGGATAGACCTGATAGGCCAGACAGACCAGGTAAGGCTGCGAATGGAGACAAATCTCTCCGTGCTGCAAAGGCTAGTTTTTCCCCTTTGTGTTAACCCTCGCACGACCAGGCCATTTCTCATAACACGAACGACCAGGGGGGGGGGGGGGGTTGTTACGACCCCCCCTGGCGTTTCGAAACGGAAGGTCGTAGAGCTTAGCGGAAAAAACCAACGGATTGCTCTCAACGAGATCTCGCGATTGGTGGTATATTTTTTGGTCCTAGGTCAACATTTGACCTACTTTTGACCGGTCAAAGGTCAAATTTTCGGAAAAATAGACTTTTTTCAACTTTCGGCGGCGATTGCGGCAAAACGGTGGGAGATATCGACTCGAAACATTCACTATCGTGTTCCTTGATCAATTCTCTATCGTTTGGTATGTATTTCGTTTCCCTAGCTCTAAAAATGGCGCGTTGGGAGCGCCGGAAGTCGGCAAGGTCACAGTCGGCGGCAGAAATTCGAAAAATCAAAATTTAAATTTTTGAAATCTGATTGTATTTTTGGATTTGGGAGGTCCATTTGCTCCCTATAGAAGCTAATATTGCTGCATATTCCCATTGAGGTGACAAGAATTAGCAAAATAGTGGTTCGGGCGCTTTTCAAAAATAGTACCGGACGCTGTTCCTCTTGTGACGTCATAGCTCCGTGACCTGACCTGACCCGGTCAAATGTCTTATACCATATGATAGCCAATACTTGCCCCAACATGCATGGGAAGTTTCATCACGATCCATCAACCGATGTCCGTACCACCGGCAGGAAACCTCGGGCGTTGGCACTCAGTTTGTGAAAATCCGGCCGGAGGCTGTACCTCTTATGACGTCATAACTCCGTGACCTGACATGACCCGATCAATTTTTTTTTTCGGCAAAAGATGCGCAAAGGTTGCCCCATAGGGTATTGAAAATTTCAGCCCGCTACGACAAGCCGTTTAGCGTGCACTTCGAAAAAACCTCAGGGGGGGGGGGGTTGATACAACCCCCCCTAGGCGTTCTAGGGTTAAATTCACTATGAAATGTGAGACTTTTTTAAATTAAGTCCAAATCTTATTCATGCAGCATATTAGCACTCATTTATTCAGAAATGCGTGGCGTTAATGAAGTGAAATATATCTTCATATATCCATGTTATATAACCTGTGTTGCCTAATGCATGGCTTATCTGCAAAAGGTTTAGCCTGCTAATGAATATGGCAAACCTTTTTTTGCAATTACATTTGATTGTTCGCAAAGTGAGCATTTTCGAAACATCGTGTGCTTATTTTGTATATTTCACCGAGTGTAAATGCCAACGTCATAGGTAGGTCACTCCCCGCTTCGGTGTGGGCCGTGGAGCTGAGATTGCTTATCATGGCTATGTCACACAAGAGAATGTGCGGTGAACGGGGAATAAAAAATGAAATGAGTGTGAGATGAGGTGAGATGAGTGATGGGTATAAAGAAGCCGAATGAAGTGAGGCCTGGTTCAATGCACAGCTTGGGTGGGCGGCGTCAGCTGACAATGAACACTCGCAGTTTGTATTCTTACGTACTTAAGCATTTTACGATACACTGTACCATGTTGATACAGTAGGGGAGAGTGGGGCAAAGCGGCCACCCTAACGCTTCTCACGATGCCAACGCTTGATTTTTAAACTTGGAAAGATTCTTTCTATACCAATGTGATCCCTATTAACCCTCGCCCCGTTGGGGGGGCCATTTTGGCCCCCCCCTGTGGTTTTTCCTGAATAGCAAGAAAACGGCGGCGCGCAGCGCCGCCAAATTTTCAGTACCTTTCCGGGCATCAATTTGACACCTTCACACCAAATTTCAAGTCTTAGGTCACCTTAGGTCAGGAGTTATTGAGGTCAAACTGAGGTCATGTTCGAGCAAAAATGAGCAAAAAACATGGAATCTTGAAACGCTCACCAAATCTACAGGGGGGTGGCCACTTTGCCCCGGCCACTTTGCCCCGCGCATACCGTCCGAGACAAAAATATTCCAGCTTAGCTATTAGTGGGGTAAAAAACATTAAAATTGGTAGAATACATGTACGATAACCATGCAATGCATGGACATTGGGACAAGAACGCTTATAAAAATTCCAAACGGTTATGGAATAACATAACATTTAAAAATTGTAAACATAGTTGGTAACCTGGCAAGAAATGCTTTTCCGTGTTTCACAGAACAATGGTGATGGGCCTGAAACCCCGGTCTGGCTCATTCGAACGACCGTGAAGAGAAGTATAATTGGAAACCATAAATTGGAACTGACGCCAGTCATGAAGGGCTAAAACGATGGGTGGCCGCTTTGCCCCGGGTGGCCGCTTTGCCCCACTCTCCCCTACTCACACGATATTGTAAGTATCCCACACTGAGCATCCTACGCAGGTCATTGCAGTTGGGACGCTGCCGATCCAGTGCATATCTAACCCAGAAGGCACCACAGTGGTGAATGGTGATGGTAGCAGCGATATGGTGGAACATCACCACCACTCAGCACCGGCGCTTTACCCCGCTGGTTCCCCTTCTCTCCTACCACCCATCTGACCTACCCGGCCGCGTCTCGCCCCTCTCTAAGAGCCCACCACGGACTCGCCAGGGTCGAACGAGGTGGACACGGACGGTCGTCGGTCGCCGGACATCCGCCGCTGCCGGGTGACGCCCACTTACGAGAAGGTGCTGAACGTCGAATACAGGCGAGCCAGGAGGTTCGACATCGAGAGCCGAACGCGTGGACGAGGTGTCACCGTGCCCTGCCTCCTACAGGTCAGCTGAGTACCGGGTCAATGGGATACCAAGCCCGGCAGGCATGGGACCAGATTAGGGCTCAATTATTTTTGTAGGACTATTTTCAGCCTAGCACTATACGACCATTTTTCTGACGCGGCAGATTAGACCGGATAATAAATTACGATGCATAAAGCTTAGTTTTTTTTTTGTCTGCAACATCTTCCAATTGAACTGAATCTTGTGCCTATAAATTATTCCAAGTGTTGATGACCAATGCTATTTAATTATTAATATTTCCGTACATTTCCTGCGAAGTTTTGAACTTTGTCCGCTTTTCATTTTCCCGCCATCATCTGACCTCCGCTGACCTCCTCCCGCAGTGTGAGCGCAACCCGCGCTGTCTCGGCGTCAGTCTGGAGTACGGAGAGCGGGGAGAGCGCTGCTACGGCCTGGAGAACTCGGCCGGCCAGGACGGCGGCTCCCTCAGCAACGCCGACGGCGTGGCCTACTTCGAAAAAGTCTGCATCGAACGTGAGTGGAACAGCTTAGATCATGATGGCTGACAACATTCATCAATGGAACTGAGCTGAGACCGTGCCAACATCGCTTTGGTTGACTTATTAGTTATTTGCTCCTACTGTTTGAATTTTGTATGTCTGCTGCTTTTCTTAAGGCTTTCATATTTTTCAGTAGGAAATAGGAATGTTTTATAAAGATTTTCATCTCTTCACGCGTACCTAAATGCCGTAACAATGAACATTGCTGCAACTGAGGAACATGAGTCGCATATAGGCCGACGCTCTTTGCCTGTCCAATCCCAATATGTATTGCGCGGAGCTTGCCTCCTCCCTGAGTATATAATTCCCTTTTCCGTAGATCGCACGTGCGGCAAGGGGTGGACGTTCGAGCGTGTCCCCAACTACATGCTTGAGGGCCACGACGACCTGGTGCAGCGGCGGGTACCCAGCAAGGAGATATGTCAGATGCTCTGCCTGCAGAACATTCGCATGCCTTGCAGGTTAGAAATAGCCCATATTTTTGATTTGTCAATGACATCCGAGAAAACATTATGAATTCGTGTGTCTTAAATTTGACGCTTACCACACTGTAATTCAACATTCACAGGTCTGCCGAGTACAACTACCGGGATCAGACGTGCACCATGTCCACCCAGACACGGAGGATGCAGCCGCGTGACTTTGTCTACGCCGAGGACGTCGACTATCTCGAGAACCAGTGTGCTCCCGGTGAGGAAAGGATGATACTGGAGGAGATCAGATACGTGAACTGTAACTTGTAAAGGATGTCAGGAAAGGTATTATTTCATGTCCAGATATGAAAACAACTCATACTTAATAAGGCTTAGGCTACGATAAACTATTATTCGCATAAGCTTATTCTCGAGAAGCGTTCTCGGTAATCGAAAGTTATGTAATCGTAGAGCCCGAAAAAAAAACTTCCCGAGAGCAACAAAAGCAATGGCAGAGTAAAGCTCAGCAGAGTTTCAGTATATTGACACTGCTTTCTACCCCAGATCCACCAAACTGCGAGTACCGGGACGTGGAAGGCCGTTTCCTGCCTTACGTGGACCGCATGTTTGCCCGAGTCCGCAATAAGCAAGAGTGCATGAGAAACTGTGACGTCGAGCGCGACTTCAAGTGAGTAAACTGTTTTTAGGTCACGCACAAGTTTGGTGAAAACCAGAGTAGTCGTCGCAATAGGTACTGTTATTGGCACCCTGATGCCTAAGCTGTACATACAATAATGTGAGAAAATGCCTTGCAGTCTCCTTTGATATGCTAGCAACTCACTATTGCGCTGGTAGGCTGTCCCGCAATACACTTTACCACTGCGGGTCAACCTACCACTTCAGGTAATTCACTCCCGCCATCTATTGGTGGATTTCTCGTAACCCTTTGCCTAGCACACATTGAGCATCGTTGCGTAGATAATCATAAACAAAATAAGTAAGAAAAGTTAACCCGCGCCCCACTGGGGTCTGCGTATAACACGCCCTAATGGGGGGGGGGGGGGGCTGGCTCTTCATAGCCCCCCTTCTAACTCCGAAACTACTGGGCCGATCGTCAAAATTCAAACGGCGTCTGATAGCCCCGGAAAAACTGTCGAGCGAAACCTAATTTCATTGACCTCGAGGTCACTGATGACGTCACAGGTCAGGTCAAAGTAAAAATTATTAGCACTTTGGCTTGTTCACATTTTGGGCTCTGGCCGCCGTCTTACTAGTCAGATCAGGCTCATTTTTGGTTTCCACACTCGTGAACAGATGCTCTAGATACCTTGAGGGTACCAAACTTGTACTTTGATTTTCAGGTCAGGGTCAGGTCATCACAGGTCACGAAAATATTATATCATGCGTCGGTCACGTGGCACATGTTTTATGGTCCATTTAGGCCATAGATTTCGAATTTGATGTCGTCTGTGTCATTCGAGGTCATTTTGAGTCGAATTTAGCTTAGGTCAGGTCACTTTCAGGTCAAAAAAGGTCAAATTTTGAAGTTAAAATTTTTCAACAAAAAAGGTGTCTATTGGATGCAGTTTGAGCTCAGGAACACGATGGTGCCATTCATATTGGTGTACGATGTCAAATACGTACTGAAAACGTGATTTGAAAAATTAATAATTGTGAATTTTTTTTGCAATAATGCGTATAACTTGGCCATTTTTTAAGATATTTAGCTAAAACTTGCTAGAGTTAGTCATAATCATGCGTTCTGTCACATATATTCCGGTTTTTTTTCGAAAAGTCAAAAACTTTTCGAAAAAATATAAAAATATAAATTTTGAATATTATTATATACAATTTTCGAAATTTTCAAAATTTTGAAAATCCGAGATAACAGTTTGATAGCGCGGTCAATTCTGAGTCCTTTCATGCAAAGAAATTGGATCTAGCTTAAAAACTGAGCTCTTGGGAGCGATTGCCGTGGTTCAATGTTTTGCGTCGAAATCGGACGAACATGACGTCACTCTGACGTCATTTCCGGCCGACCTATGGTAGCTACGAAGTTCAAATTTTAACACAAGGTGTCAAATTGATGCAGCCGAAGGTACTGAAAGTTTGACGTCGATACGTCAAGCGGTTTGGAAGTTATTGCAGAAAAACGGGAGGGGGGGCTATAAATAGTCCCCCCCCCAGTGGGGCGCGGGTTAATAAAAATATTGAAAGCGCATTACAACCGCGACTTCCGTCGATGCTCGTTATGTATTTATTCACTGTCAATTTATGCTACTGTGTGAATATTCAGCTGCCTTTGTGATATTATATATCCAACAAACTCACATACACTGCACAAGTTTTGAGAATCTAACTCCTGTCCCGTTCCCGTTCAGGTGCCGCAGCTACAACTTCAACGAGCGTCAGCGCGAGTGCACCATCAGCAGTGACGACTCGACCAGTCTGGGGGAGTCAGCTCTGGTGGCCGACACAGATAGCGTGTTCAGCGAGAGAGGCGTCTGTCGCACCGGTAATTCACCGGCGGCAGGTCACGGTCAGGTCACCGGGTCAGGTGGCGTCTATGACCCGGCAGCCGACCCGCGCCCGTTCACCAGTCTCTTCTGGCCGTCAAGGGGTGCGGCGGGAGTTCCAATAGGAGCTCCGTCTGTACCCGGTGGTGGACAAGTCGGGACTGGGACTAAATGGGAAACAGCCGGTCGCCCTGAGCTTGACCTAGACCCGACCAATGGTCTTCCGTTGGGATCGCCGGTGGAGGACGAGATAGACTCGTCTGAGGACCTGCTGGGGCCTGGTTTGGTCACCGGTCACGTGCTGGGCTTATTCGCCGCGCTGGGCCGCGGGGACCGGTTCGATCCCACTCCGTGGAGTGACGGAGGGATCCCGCCGGATTTGTCCGAGGGATCTGGTGTGTCACTGTACGCGGATTCCAATCAGGACCAGCCTGGTCTGGCGCCTCAGGAACATCAGTTCGGGGAAAGAATAGAGGACGGCTTCCTGCAGTGGAGTGACCTCCATCGGAGCCTAGCTGGTGGCTCTGCAGACGCTGACTCCCCTTGGCAGCGGGGAGGGCTCCCTTCTCCCCTTCCTCCCAGTTTCGAGCACGGTCAGGGGGCTGTCCCAGCCTTCGGGACTCACGGACAGTCACCGGCGGACTCTGGACTCCAGTCGCCGGCGCTGGAGTCCTCCGCTGGAGCTGGAGGCGACAGTTCCCGGCTGGAGGAGCATCCGGAGGCGGAGTACTTCGGCGGAGAGGGAGCCACCATTGGACCAGGCTCAACAGGCACGGACACTGAGTAATTGACATACGGAGCAGAAATGCCAATTTTCTCACTGGGCAGTTTCAATGCCAAAGAATAAATTATCGTTAAAAGTCAATGACATTTATTTTTTCATATTTACGTTTATATGTTTTGACATTTATATTTTATAAGTCTGACGGCACCATTGCATCGTTTCATTTTTAATTGTTTAATTAATATTGAAGCTGATGTTGATGAATCGTATTATTTTATGTTGAAAATCGCTCTAGTGGTCTACTAAAGACAGATTATGATCGCGAGCTTGAACAGTGAATATACCACTGACATCGACTTCTAAGCGCCTATTAGTTGCAGTCTTTCTTTTCCCCGCTCGTCGGGTGCGGTTGGCTCGGTAGACCAACTGACCAGCCTTTCATTAGCAGTTGTAGAGAAACTGCCTCGATGGAGAAGCTCTCCGAGGCTCTTCAGTCTTCAGAAGCGGTATTTCCGGTAGTCTAGACGACTCCATGAGACTGATCCTGGTAGCCTTCTATCGAGACACTTAGAAGCCTGTCGTCTGTAGTGAACTGGTCTGATAGTGGTAACTCTCTCGCATGATGTACTCCGCCGACTGATTCCCCTCTGGCTGGGATCTCGTGTGCACCTGGTTGTACTTCGCATGCATGTCTAAGGGGTCGTTGTACCTATTACCGCCCATTGTCTTAATTAGTGCTGCGCTGTAAATGCTAGCTTGAACTTTTTTATTTATGTTCCTTCTCTCTAGTTAGATGAGCTATCTAAAATCTTTTGTAAAATACTTTAAATACTTACCGATTCTAGTGCTCTAGAAGCTGCGAGCATAGAGCTCAGTCTTGAGCCATCTTATGTGGACATCTTTTCTCTGCTGTAGCATAGCTCAACTGAGACCAAACCTACTCACCACGTCACACAACCTAACGCTTCTTCCAGCCTCCCATTCTAACGCCTCCCTTCCACCCCTCCCCTCCACTCCAGTGACCGTCGAATGCACGAAGAACGACATGCAGGTGACCTTCAGTTTCGGCCGGAGCTTCGAGGGCCGGGTGTACGCGACTGGTAACGCCCAGGCCTGCTTCGACATGGGCAACGGCAGACAGGTGGTCCAGCTGTCCATCCCGCTCGGATCCCGCTGTGGCACCGTCGAGGAGGTGAGAACACATGCTTACTCTGACTTGGCCGCGCCGTGAGTCGTGGATCCCGTTTTTTTCTTTTTTTTTAGTGGCACAGCGCTTCTTTTGTGCCCTGTGTGCTTTGTGGCTCCCTTGATCAATTGTCTATTTAGTGTAAACCTTCAGATGTTTTGGATTGACGACTACTTGTGCAGCGTGCAATCTGTGAAGGAAAAACTTGTCATTTGCCCTCCTGTGCATCCTCGATAATATGTAACATCTGCATAGCGCATGCCTTCTGTTTAACCTATGTATGATGTCTTTGTGACCTCTCCATGACTTCTCTTTGACCTTTGACCTTTGTTTGACCTCTGTGCAGGGTCGCGGCCGGTACGTGAACCACGTGGTGATCCAGCAGCACCCAACCATCATGCAGGAGTCGGATAAGACGGTGCGAGTCGAGTGTACCTTCGACGCCAACGACCAGACGGTGACCCTGGCTCCCACCGGGAACCGCTTCACCGAGGGAGGCGGCGTCGACGTCAAGTAAGAAAGGGGACTTTCGGAGATGATGAGTAGGCATTTCTTCCAAGAACTCAGGAAATGCGTCAGGAGTTGGTTACTGAGCTCGTTCGACGTGTACATTTCACTGAGTAGCGTGTAAAAGTTTACATGTCTTGTTTCCTGCTTCTTTGCTGCAGCCTGTCACACCTGAACTTGTGCTTTAGACGTTTCATGAATCTCACTGCATGTTTCTTCTTTGTTTCAGCGCGCCCTTTCGGCCGGCGGGTACTTCAGTGGTTACGAACACTGCGCCGACCCCTAGTGTTAGTCTCCGAATCGTCGGCCGCGCTGGACGCGACACGGACGAGGTCAGCCTGGGCGAGGACCTGACCTTCATGATCGTCGCCGACCCGGGCAGCGCGTTCGGCATCCTCGGAAAGAGCGTCGAGGCGCGCACCGACAACGGCGAACTGCTGCCGCTCATCGACGAACAGGGGTAAGTCCTGGATGCCGGGTACTGCTTGTGTAAGTTCGTATGTTGTGTCAAGATGTGTAATGAAGATGCAAGTCTTACGCGTTTGCAGCCAAACTAGATGCTTATTAGCGAACGATCGTAAAATAATTATAAAAGCCGACACATTACATAAAACGAGACAGCCGTGTCATACCAGACACAAAACTATCTCTAGTACGGCAACAAAGGTCACGTGAAGATTTTACCATCTGTGTACCACAGTCTTGCTGTCACTCTCACAATCCATGTTTGTGTTCTTCAGATGTCCGCGCGACAGCAGCATCTTCCCGGCGCTTCAGCTCGATCGGCAGACAAAGAACCTGATGGCCAACTTCAAGGCCTTCCGCTTCCCCAGCACGGCGCGCGTCAACTTCTTCGCGACTGTGCAGTTCTGCCAGGACGAGTGTCCTCCGGTAGGTATCAGTCGCAAACTCACATCGTTGAGGCAGGCCTGTTTTTAGGCCGTCTGAGAAAGAAGGGCCCTGCTTTTGTTGCGTCAGTCACTTGGACTACAATTTCACTCACTTGGCTGGTGGTTTTGATGCATAGTGTTCTATAAATGTGTACTGTCAAAGCTTCTACTACTGACTGGTGTCTTTGTTTGCACAGGCGCGCTGCCCTGGAGGCAACTCGTACGGCCGTCGTCGGCGCCGATCGCTGAACGACACTGCCGAGCCAGACACGGAGGAGGGCGTAGTGATGACTGCCACCGCTGAAGTACCCATGGACCTGAGAATCGGACTGACCGCTGACCTGCCACTAACGCTCTCCCCCGTCCCATCGACTAGTACCACCGCTGTTCCATCACCAGCAGCTGATGTGGTCTCGGAAGGTGAGCTTTTACAGCTAGGTGTGTAGGTACGGAACAGGCGCCATTTCGCAGTCTATATCGGCTTTCAGATCTCGTAATGATGATATTGCTTTGGAAGCGAAAGAGTTCCCTCTGCTTTTTATATGTTTTTTTTTTTTTAATTTTCTTACACACTTACAATCTTCCGTGACTTTTTCAGCGGGCTCTTCGACAAGCATGGCTTCCCAAGCGCCTTCAGAGCATCCATCAAACTTCGAAGAGGAGCCAGTTTGGACTAGCTCCGAGGAGACGGACACTGAGCCATCTGACCATCCTGCAGATGAACCATACGAGCAACAGCCGGACAATAACCCTGCAGATCGTCCGATAAACTCGCTAGACCTCGATGAAAACCAGAACGAAATCTCAGATAACCTGTGGGAGGAGCTCCCGGAGGAAGAGGATGAGGAGGTTCCCGTGGGCCCGCGGGTGGCGGCGGTCCTCTCCAAGACCCGCCGCCGGCCCGCTCCGGAGGAGGACCCGCAGGAGAATGAGGTGTCTGATGTCGCACGGAAGGAGCCCGATCCTCTGCTGCCGCAGGCACTGCCGCTGACTGCCTCGGTGAGACATCCCTTCTCGTACACAGTGGTGATTATAACGTGACCAATTTCTGAAAATGAGTTCTTAAACACGGATTGTGTCCATATTTTGTGAATGCTTGAAATGAAATAGCTCAACTTGATGAATACCCATGTTCATTTAACGAGTAAATGTCTTAACAAAGTAATTGCAGAACAATTATAGTGGAACATTTTTTTAGGGATACTTGAGACAATTTGATGTTATTCTCCCAATCAATCATTCGTTCGAACATCGGGAGTCATTCGGGCCGCCAACTTATCAGTTGTCACCTGTGTCATCGCATGACCGATGAATCTTTTGCCCTCAGCTGATGGTGGGCCCGGACATCTCCTCGGAGAAGGTGCGGGTGCTGCTGGAGGACGGACTGGAGGCCGCAGACCAGGCGGTCCAGGAGGCGGCCGAGAGGCACCGCGAGTACGACCCAGTGTTCGGACACAACTGGACTGGCCGCCACGACTACTTCACTGGTGAGTCACGGTGGGGATGTACAGTCTGTCTTGAAAGTACCGCAGCATGGCGGGGTGGCGCTGGTGATCCGGCGCGGCGGAGGGCGGTCAGGTTTGAGGGCCACTGAATCGCCTGACCCTTGGGGAAGGGAGGGAGGGAGGGAGGAGAGGGGTGGGCGCGAGTAAGCGGGCTCTCGGTGCTACCAGTGCGGCAGACAAGGCGCTCTTTTATGAATACGTTATACAGAGACACCAGCTAAGCGTAGTAATTCTCTTCCTGACATGAAGTTTTGATAAGTGGGAAGTGAAGCTTCCCTTTCGAGCCTCACATGTGTTTCACATGTAATCCGGCCAGAGGGCAGCGTGTGCGGTCTCCGTCGTTTCGCTCAGATTAAGCTAGGGCTTCCAGAAAGTTGTGTGCGTGGTTACGAAACACATTGACTGGTAACTAATTTTAATATTGCCAGTATTGGCCGCTTTGTAGCGTCTACTGATGGAAATGGTCCGTACTCCGTAGCAACCCGCCTTACAGCCGTTCGGCTCCTGATCTGACATATGAAATGATCAGGTCGGCGGCTCCTGATCGGACATGTGAAATGATCAGGTCGGCCCTGATCATTTCGCCTGCAGGGACCTGATAGTGCCAATCACAAAATGCCTGGAAACGCGTAGATAATATGCGCTGACATGCATGGAATCGGCATATTGGCCTGACATGGTATCGAGAAAGAGGTTACAGGTCAAAGGCTATTGGGTTCAGGGTCATTATATTTTTAGGAAAGATAAAGCATTGATCAATTCCGGGATGTTGAAAGTTTTGCCGTGGTCGGTCGGTCGGTCGGTCGGTCGCTTTTTACGCGAGTTATTCGTGAAAAAGCTGTGAGGGACGCATCGGTTCGACCTCCTCCTGTAAGTGTGAAGGTTAAGAGCTCAGGTCAACCGGTGACCTCTCGAGCATTCTTCAGTGCCGGCGAGCATTATAACTTTTCCTGAGGCTAGGACACTATAACGTAACCTAAGTGACCCGACCTTGAAGATCTGGGTCTGATTCATTCCGCCATCACAAGTGTTTAAAAAAGATGCAATATCAGGTATGGGTGGAGGGATGTTGCAGCCCCCCCCCCCCAATGCAGCAGTGTGCAGAGAGCCTGCTTTGTTTAGTAATAAATCTAGCCATCTACTTTGAAGCTGAAAGTACCTATAAAGAAAAAGGGTTCTGAGTCGCCACGGCGCTGTTCCCACCGCAACTCCAAATCTGACTTCGGCCTGCTGATCGGCTCCGACTCCGACTCTGGCTCCGGACCAGTGCACTGCCATAAGCATAAACGTATCACTTGCAGGCACGGGGATTGACGCAACTCCTCCGGACTGCTTTGGTAGCTATTATAGTAGACTCTGCAACATTTGTTGGAGTCTGCTAACATTTTCAGCATCATGGAGGGGGAGGGAGAGAGAGAGAGAGAGAGAGAGAGAGAGAGAGAGAGAGAGAGAGAGAGAGAGAGAGAGAGAGAGAGAGAGAGAGAGAGAGAGAGAGAGAGAGAGAGAGAGAGAGAGAGAGAGAGAGAGAGAGAGAGAGAGAGAGAGAGAGAGAGAGAGAGAGAGAGGAGAGAGAGAGGAGTTTTGATAGATCGTTAAACGAATAAAATTCACACCAAACAGCCTCGTATGATCTCAACTATCATCTTGAACTGAACAATGAACAGTGAGCGCTCAGGAACTGAAAGATTAATATGTCGCTACATGTTAATACCCATAATCTCAGTGACCTTCCGCATAAATTTGCATGCTTCGTGTTTGGTATACGATTATCAAAGTCATCGTATCCTCTACCTGGAAGTAGGCGCTACGAACATTTGCTTGGCCAGTCGATCGTAAAATGCAAATATTTGCCTATAAGTTATATGGATAGGAAACAACGGAGTATAATGTGTTAGTTATTTTGTGATGTTTTTATGTAGCAGCCATTGACCTTCTATAGTATGAATGGTTTGAAACGTTTTTTCTTTTCTTTTGGCATGATAATGATTATACTTGTAATAAGGTGGAATCTTTGGCACATAAATAAAGACAAAAAACACCCAAGTGTAGGATTTGCTTTGGCTTCCTTTAGTTTATGAGCAAAAGGTTACCATTCCATCTTACTTCCATTAGCTTTCTCTTAAATACTATTGTGCTTCAATCTCAACAAGGGTGGTGAGAATGGGAGTTCTTTTTTATCTCGCATAAATAAATACGCAACAAATTACTTTATCCTAAGTTATGGATCAATCGATCAGATCTAAACCCATCGAGATTTTCGACAAAACTACTGCGTTGACATTGTTCTATGTTGTTATTCACATTATTATTTAGTTTTTTACATTTATTCTGTTCCGTTCCATGACCGTAAATTATTGTTCAATATGTGTCATGTTCTGATAACAATGCAAGCAGTCGCGCTCATCCTTTAGATTGGCTACGTCTGTCTTTTCGTGACTTCGTCTAGAATAAAACGGTTCCAAGGGTGATCCGGTCACCGAGGGATCGGCCGGGCCGGTCAAGTTCTCCACTCGTGCTCGCGGACGGCCCGTGCCCCCGGGCGACAGGCGCCGCAGCGGGGTGGAAAGAGTAAGGGAGAGCGGCACCCCACGCGACCTGCCCGGTCACTCTCTCCTGGCTCACTGCCGTCACGTGATCTGGGGCTCTCAAACCACCGAGCTCCCGACCTTTAGTTCGCCGGGCGGCCGCAGCCCATGCTGCGGTACTTTCAAGACAGACTGTACACTACCGACTGCATGAAAATGGTGCAGGAGCTTGGCATAATCAGGGTGTTTGATTAGGAAGTTGAACCTTTTGGAAAGTCTCTTCAAGAAACACATGACAAGCTTCCCTGATTTTAGGAAATGATGAATCATGGAATACCGTCGGTTCCCATAGACGGCTGTCACTGATTTGTCTGGCACCCAGAAATTGTTTCTATATGGAGCGTCGTTGACTACTTGAGTCATTTACCATCTCTTCGCCATGTCGTCCTCGCGCAACATCTCACCTCTCCTTTCCCCTCAGGCCGTTCGTGGGCGGACGAGGTGTGCACGCCTCGCTCCACCGTGATCGCCGCCTGCGTAACCCTGGCGCTGGCGCAGCTGGGTCTTATGCTGGGCGGCATCGTGTTCTACCGGCTCAGGCGGCGCCGCTGGCAGGCCGCCCTCCGACCCAACAGCGTTCAGCCTCCGGCCGAGGACGTTATCTACGCCACGCCGCAGGAACTTGGCATCGGCAAAGGCTACAGCGCCAGCGAGATGGGCCTCGGCAGAGGCTACAGTCGCTTCGGTCGAGCGACGAAGCATGACTTCCCCGTGCCACTGCCGCGAGGTGGTACTTGATTGGAGATGGTGGAGAGGAAAGACAGTGCTTGGGAGAAGAGAGAGTGTAAAGAATGCGGCGAGTGAGCTAGAGGAACAGAAAGAGACAGCAGACAGAGCAGAAACATTGACTGAACATGCTCTTCGTGCATGCCATTCCATTGACATTGCCTAGTCAGTAAGTTCATGAGTGCTATATTGATGTGGCATGATGGATAAATCAAATCATCCTGTGAGTGTGTTGGCCGCTGTATAGTGAAACGGCTGCACCGTGCTGTCGCGCTAGGTTAGAGGTTCATACGCATTACCCACCGCGCTGTGTAACTCCACAGAGACATTTGACCGTCGGTGGTGCCCTGTGATGAAACGCTCGCGTGATCCGGTTCCTGCTAGAATCCTAAAGGTGTCTAAGTTAGTGATAAGTGTGCGCAAGGCAACATAATATGAAGTAAGAACAAATTTCGTTTTGTTATGGAAATTTGTCCGATTTGTAATAATCAAAGCTGTAGAGCTACCGACAAGGAATCCCTCTCTTCGCCCTCTATTATTTACGGATACGGCACGCGTCCATTGCCGCCGGTCCGGCCGTCACTGTCCACCGTTACAAGGGGTTGCCAATGAAGCAGGCGTCATTTCCCCGGTGGGAGTGGGGACCCGACTCGGGACTCAGCGCCCAGGGGAACAGAGTCGCCGTCCCCGCTCCCACTGGCCAGGCTTGGTACCCCGGGTAGTCTGTACGGAGTTATCTTTTAACGCGCACCCCGCATTGCTTGTTTTGCGAAGTGTCACCCGCTTTTCAGGTTAAGTTTCTCGTCTTTGGGATGAGTAGTTTATCATTGCTTTCGGCAACTTTCCAAGAAATACATATCAATAAGCTACCAATCTGGCAAGACGGCCGGGTTCATATGTACTGGGATTTGTGGCATTGACGGTGTTATTAGCTAAGTGGCTGATAGAATGGACTGAGGATGGGCATTAGCTCGTGTATTGGACTACGATACACTGTGAACGTTTGTTTGCTAATCGCTTTTGCACGCTTTCTGCACTAGTGACGGTGGGAAAGTGACGGCCAGTGTCCGAGATGTCCTGTATGCCTCGCACTTTTCGTAAATAAAAAATGACAAAAGTACAAATTTGCGTTTTGAAATGCAGAACTATTCAAAATGGCTGCATTTCGGACAAAAGGCGGGACAAAAGGCATCTCATGAACTACCTCGTACTGACAATAGCCGAAAAATGCTTGCTGTACCTAATGCCGAATAATGCTAATAATGTTCATGCTTATGCTACTTGCATTTTCTAACTGAATGTAAGACAGCAATCGATGCAATCAGCTCATACTTCAATACAAGAGTGTCTTTTTTCCAGTCAGTGGCTGTATCCATGCATTTTTGTCTGCAAAGCTGGCGCGCATATCTTCACTTATCCCTGCCATCGACGCTAATACCGCCTTTCTTCAGACTCTTACCTCTTCATCTAGACCATTTTTCCTCCCTCCGGCAAAGCGGCCTCATCACTTTCGCTGATACCCCATCGCTAAAGATGATGGGTGGATCGTGGCATGTGCTGTCCTCAAGAATAATCTGTCCGGTGACGTCAATAGAGCTTATAGTTGCACAAGCAGCGCCTTAAGGCACTCATGCGTCATTCAAGTGTAACGGAATCGAAGCTAGGTAAAGGGTACTATATGTAAGTCAGAATGAGACGACATTTTCGTGTTGCTTAGCTCCCACGCTATCTGACCGTCAGCGCTAGAGCAGGCGAAACTACGCAAAGTGTAAAGATGCAAGTGATATACACCACGCCCCATCATTCAGCTCTCACGCTCATGTGCACTGTGCAGCTATACACGGGTATTGTAATTGAGAGTGATCGAAATGATGAAAATGTTGCAATTAGCTTCAGCATTTATTTGGCTGCCTCTCTAGAAAATGGTGAATTATTACATACAAATTTCACAGGTCCGCTGTTCAAGATGCATACAAACGAAAAGAAAAGAGAGGGAAGAAATGGAGAGAGAGAGAGAGAGAGAGAGAAGAGAGAGAGAGAGAGAGAGAGAGAGAGAGAGAGGAGAGAGAGATATGAGAGACACACACAGAGAGAGAGAGAGAGAGAGAGAGAGAGAAGAGAGACAGGACAGAG